CCCCCCCCGCCCCGCCTCCGTGGTATCATCTCAGCTAATCCTGGCCCTCTCTGTGCACCTCCCTCCACACGGCTGCCGTCTGTCACCACCACTCGCTCCCTCTCTGCTCAGCCTCTCTCTCCTCCCAGCTCTACTCCTGTCCCCGGATTCTTGGTGATTTCAGTGCTCAGTAATGATGGCCACTGTCAGGTGTAGCTCAGTGGCAGCGCGCTTGTCCGGCACTCAGGGTTCAATGCCTAGCACGACAAAGCAAGAAACACCCCTCAAAACCCCACGTCAGTGATAATCACGATCCCCTTTTGTGTGGGTCTTCCTTTCTTTTACCTCTTTGCTACTTTAGCAAACTCCCTTGTCAAAACCACAACCCTAGTTAAGCTCCATGGCCCACCCACCCTGTGTTGGTACTTCCGAGTCAGAAATCACATTGAGTGTTGTTCCAATTTTAAATGTGTGACCACAAAACTCGCTGTCCCATTTCCCGACTTCACTTGCTGTCTCGCTTTGCTAGTTAAACATTCCCCACCCTCCTGTCTTCAAACTTTAACACCTCCCACCTCCCGCCACCACCCTCAGATGCGGAGGATGACTACGCTTCCTATTCCTCTTCAACAAATGAAGGAAACCAGAAACAACTGCAGGCTCCTGCCGCCACAGCTGCCGCCCACCAGCATCTGCACTCAGATACTGAATTATCCTCTTCCCATCCAGACCCCATCCCTCCCGCCCTCCCCCTCCTGCATCATCCCTGCCCTGCCTTTCTCAGTGGATTGCTCACATCAGGCTCCTGCCAAATCCTTCTCTGCTTTCTTTGGCCCCATCCAGCTTTGCCAAAGGCCTCCTCCGGTTGGAGGACACCAGAACTCAGCTCTTGCTTCCCCTATTGTCCATTTACGTCCTCATTCCCTTTCCAGGACTAATGTTTTAAAATACCCTCCATTTATTTTTCCACTTTTCCTTAAACTCTAGTCTTTATAACCTGCTATCAACTCTACACCTCCATTGGAAAGCCAGTAGATGTTTTGAGCTTCATAAGAGATTTGAGTTTCTCATCTTTCCCCACCCCAAAAGCTTACCCCTTCTGTAGCAATCCTCATCTTTTGGGGGACAATGATGGTGGTGGGGATGGAATTGGGGTCTCACCACACTAGGAAGAGCTCTGCCCCTGAGCTACACCCCCTGCCCAACACCGGCTGGTAATTGTTCAGGTCAGACCCAGTGGTGCTATGCTTGATTTCTCCCCTGCTTTCCCTCCTGTCCTTCAGGAAGTGCTCTTCACAATCCCTCCCATGGTCCTCCAGTGCCCTCAGCCTGGCCAAATGTTGTTTTCCTTGGCCTCAATCACTGTAGGACAAGCTGGTTCCACTGACTCTACCTTTGCAGCCTCCCCACTGCAAGGGAGGACTCAGCAGAGCTGCTAGTCTTCGCTCTGGTTAACAGTGATTCTTTTAATGATGACAGTGCTGCCCTCCCCTGCTGAGAGCTCTCCCAAGGCCTCCTGTCACCCAGGTCCTCACCCTGACGGGGTGCCCACCCACCCAGCCTGGCCCCAGGAGCTCTCTCCCACTCTCCTTTTCTGCTCCCCGTGCTGGGTGGTCGCCCACGGGTCTCTTTGATGCTTCTCCAGCATCTTCCTTCCTCCGGCCTTGCACTCCTTGTTCTTTCTGCTTGGGTGCTTTGATTCATTCCCCCTCTTTTCAGGGTTTTCTCTCAAATGTCACTTTTACAAAGAGGTCCACACAAACCACCTGATAAAATTTCAATCCATTTATCCTCTGCTTGATTTTTCTCCCCACATTCATGGTATATTACACACCTTATTATCTCTGGGTGTGTGTGTGTGTGTGTGTGGTGGGGGTACTAGGCATTGAATCCAAGGCTTTCTCACTAAGTGACATTCCCAGCCCTTTTAAATTTTTCTTTAGAGACAGGGTCTCTAAATTTCCCAGCCTGGGCAGGAATTTACAGTCCTCCCTTCTTAGCCTCCCAGAGTGCTGGGATTTCATGTGTGCTGCCACTATGCCCTACTCAGTATACTTATTATTAAACTTCTTGAAGTGCAATGCAAGCTTCATGAGGACAGGGACTTTACCCTTTGAAATATTCCAAATGCCTAAAACAGAGTCCAGAATAAAAACATTATAATCAAGTATTTGATAAAGTATTAATAAATCGATACTGTATGTTCTTCGAAAAAACTCATGGCGTCCTCTGTTTTCATAGGACAATCTGAAAGTTTGAGTTGTGTGTGTCTCTGTTTGTAGGCACGCCCATGCATGTGTTGAGAAAAGGTCTTTAAAAACATCTGATCCAATGGTTTTTCTATGTAATTTTTTGACAACATAATTGCATCAGCCTTTTCCAACAAAACCAAAATATTTCCTAACTGTAAAAGAGACAGACACTCTTTTACCCCTCAGGCAGTCGAAACATTTGTTGTTCCAGAGAAAATCTTCATCTGTAGCTTTACCTGTTAATTACCTGTCATTTGCAAAGGTCTCTCCTCAGAGCCCCAACTTTCCTTTGAGGACAGTCTCAGCTTGCAGATGAGCACAGTGAGGACGTGGGTGATGTCCCGTGAGCCAGGAGAATGACTGGCATGGTGTCAGGCACCCAGGGCTCCCTGGCCTACAGTCTCCTGGACTCCTGGACTCCTCCTCCTGCACAGTGACCAAAGAAAGAAACCTCCTAACCTGGGAGGTCTGCACTTCTGGCTGCTCACTGAGGTTTCTGTTACCCTCAACCTCAGGCTGACACAGGCAAGAACTTAGTCACGCTGCCCAACACAACAGCCACTGCCACCCTGTGCAGCGATGAGACGATCTGGCTAGAACCTGAGGTCCTCTTCTCAGGGCCTCGCCAAGGTAAGATGATCCAGAGAAAACCCCTGGGAAGGAAACGTGTTCTACTCCCAGAGATTGGCTGCGATTTCCTAACCGTGTGCTCTCATTTGTAGCATTTGAGTTTCCTCAAATCAATTACCGGAAGTACAGCGGGAGACCTTACACATTCGCATACGGACTTGGCTTGAATCACTTTGTTCCAGACAGGGTAATCAATCCACTTAGGAATATTGGGTCAGTGCTTTGGTTCATAGGAGAGTCGAGTGAGACTGATACTGACTGATGGATCCGTTGCTTTGCCTTTCTTTCAAGCAGCTCTGTAAGCTGAATGTCAAAACTAAAGAAACCTGGGTGTGGCAGGAGCCAGATTCCTACCCATCAGAGCCCATCTTTGTGTCCCACCCAGACGCCTTGGAAGAAGATGATGGTAAGGATCATAACGACTATGTCTGCACACTCTCTTACGGCTGGAATTCTGTGTGTTCCACAAGGGGGCAGTTAGGCTGATTATTCCCCAATGTTAAAAAAAAAAAAAAAAACAATTCGATAAATGGATGGCACTGAGTAAGTTAAACTTATTTGGAAATAAGTTTCCTCTTGTGATGAGGCCTTGTTAATTTCCAGTGGGAAAAATGTCAAAGCACCCTCTGGTGTCATGAGCGAGCCTCAGTGTCTGCTCTGGATGACGAGAAGGAGAAAGAAACATGGCAGCACGAACACTAGGTGTTGGCCTTTCCTGATTAAGATATATTTCTGGAAAAGGATAGAGTTCTAAGAAGGGAAACAGAGGGTTCTAGAAGATAAAGAGAATGAGAGGGCAGCTCTGTGGCTCTAGTTTTGGCTGGTTCTTTTAGTAAGCTGGGGCTACAAAGCGATCCAGGGCTATAGTCTATAACCCAGAGCCACTCAGGGGACAAGGACCCCAGCTAATCTTTAAGCGGCTAAGACAGGGCGATAGAGCACACTCTCTGAAACACAAGATGAGCAGCCACAGAGAAGAGAGATAAACAACTGTGGAGCCATTTCATGCATGCAGTTTATTCAGCAAAAGTGCAAAAGGTTTGTTCTCATTTCTTTTTTTTGGAAAGAAGTTTCCCGATAGATCTTGGAAATTGTCATATAATAGGCCATGGTGCTTTGGAAGTCTTTGAATATACATCTTCCCTTGATCATAGCAACTTTGTGCAGTAGGAGGAGCGAGAGTTATGGGCCTGTCACAGACAAGGACGCAGATCTGTGCATTCGGTATGCGTTTAGTGAGTACCGGCTGTGCTCTAGTCCTGCAGACCAGAATCCTCGTGGGGTGAGAAAGACAGAGGGTCCTTCCCTCCCTGGAGCCTGGAGCCCAGAGGAGAAGACTCCAAAAGACTTTTCAGGGGGTCACATGACCAAGGGGTAGAAGAGTCATCAAGAAGCCAAGTCACGTGGTTTTCTATATTGGCCAGTATAATTCATTTCATCTACAGGCCAGCACTCATTTAGATTTCGCCCTTCCTTGTTTCCGTGTGATGAACAGGGGTGGTTCTGAGTGTGGTGGTGAGCCCTGGGACCGGACAGAAGCCCGCCTCTCTCCTGATTCTGAATGCCAAGGACCTGAGTGAAGTGGCCAGGGCTGAAGTGGAGGTTAATATCCCTGTCACCTTTCATGGACTGTTCAAAAAGGTCTGAGCGTATTCAAGCCTGAGCATATTTCTGGTGAAAAAGGAAACCTGAAAACCAGCTTCAAGCCTGCAGTCTAACTCTACTCAATTTTATCTTCCTGCACAGCATGGTTTTAACTTGCACAAATTTTACACTGCTGTACAGAAAGTACTGGCTGAGTTAAACAAGCAATTCCTTTTTTAACAGTATATATTTAGATAATAGTGCTTTCTCTGCAGCATAGCTCATAACTGAAAACTTCTTTTAAATACCTAGCAATCAAATAAGAAATGGATGTGGCCTTATTAAACTGCTTTTTATTCCTGTTATAAAACTGTATTTATATAACTGTCTGCTGTAATTTTTTTAACATTTAAACACCAAAGCTAGGGGCCTGGGATTTAGCTCAGTGGTTCCATCGCCTGCCTTGCAAGCGAAAGGACCTGAGTTTGATTCCTGGTACCAAAAAAACAAAGCACCAAAGCCTTCTACATCTGATTTGTAGGTAGCTTTGGTGAGCCACGGCAGAAAGGCTCAGTTACTAAATTTTAAACCAGGTACTACCCTCAAAAAGTACACAGTAATTGTTTTTGCCTTTATGTAACTGCTTGAAGATTCTCAAGCTCATGAACTTTAACTACTTTACTCCAATTTATTTAATTCCATGCTTTATTCCATTTAATATAGGCAAATGCTGCTATTTCTGATTTTGCAATGAGAAAACCTAATCGACTGAAGTTTCTCAAACAAATAACGGTTCAGAGATATGTTGTACATTAAAAGTTTATGACCTAAAAAATGAGAAATTAGAGACATTTATAGCTAAGTGGATGCACATTGAGGTAATAGTTTCTCTGGTATGAGAAACTGAAAGTGTAAATGAGGACTAAAATGTATAATAGGTAATGTGAAATAGGAAGAAAAGGGGCAAAGGGGAAGGAAGTGGGAGGGCTAGGGGAAAGGATAGAAGGGAATGGGATTAATATGGGAAAATGGAAAAATAGGAACAAAATCTTTGTAAATAGGGAGGAATGGAGGGGTTGAAGGGAGGGCTGGGCAAGGGTGAAAAATAAGAACCAAGAGAGACTACGTAAAGGTGCAAATTTCCAATGATGAATGTCATTATATTGTATACCTAAAATGTACCAATGATTAGAATGAATAATTGATAATGGAAAATAGGAAGAAAAGGTCCAAAAGGGTAGGGGTAGTGGGAGAGGCAGGGGAAAGGAAAGAAGGGAAAGGAAAAATGATGAGAAATGGAAAAAATGGAAACAAAGTCTTTGTAAATAGGGAAGGGTGGAGGGGGTGAAGGGAGGACTAGGAATGGGGAAAAAATAAGAAGCAAGATGCATTATGTAAAGGTACAATTCCCAATGAGAAATGTAATTGTGTTGTATACCTAAAATGTACCAATAAAAGAATTTAACAAAAAAAAAAGTTTATGACCATCAGTGCACATGCCCATAGTAGTGACTAATAAGTTGAAAAACAGAGCATAAAATACTTGCAAATATAATGTCAAATTAAAATTGGGCTATGGCTATACAATATATTTTTTTTCCAGGTACCAGGAATCAAACTCAGGACCTTGTGCTTGCCAGGCAGGTGCGGTGCCCCTGAGCTACAACCCCAGACCTAAAATTGGGTTATGGGATAATGTTGAGGGGTTGTACTTTGTTGCCTCTTCTGTTTAATTATGTTTAACCATGTAGTCACTTGACTAAAGACAGAAAAACATTAGCCCATTAACTCTCAGAATTAACACATTTTAAGAACTTCTATTTCGAACTATACTTTCCAAGCAAATCTAAGGATACACAAAAGTAGAATTTATAAGTTTTACTTTTCATATTCATATTCATATAGCACTCATCTAAATTACTCTTAAGATTTGAGTACTGGTCTTTTTATCTTTTTATCTGTCATTTTTAATGGAATCAGTATTTATTCATGGATCAGTCCTAGATAGAAATAAAAATCTCAAAAGAGAAAAGGGGAAAAGCCAGAAAGTTATGTGGAATATGGCCCTGTAATAAGCACTAACTATTGTTTGCAGTGTCTATGGGTGGTGTGTGGACAGAATTCCACAAAGAAAGGTATTTATACATTTCATTTAAAATGCAAAAAATAAGTTACTGAAAATGGCTAAGTTTTCAGCGTAAAGCATCTGAATTTAAGAGCATTCCTACATCTGCCACGTCCTGCACTTGGCAATGGATCACTGCTTGGCTTCTTCCCACTCTAGATGAAGCCACAACTTAGGGTGTCCGTGTCTCCCCCTCAAAGGGAGATCTCAAACTGAGATCACCACAGTGCACAAAGAGGAGGAGACGAACCTGACCAAAGTGATTTTCTACCAACACCACTTCACCAAAATTGGAATTCTCTATTATAATCCCTGCTAAGATTATAGCAAGAAGGCTTAGGAGCGACTTTTCAAGTCCAAAGCTAGAACACGAGCTTTAAAATCTTCACTTAGAACAGGGGAGAGAAACTTATGAATTCAGGTTGGATAAATTAAGGAACCTGTTTTCTAAGAAAATGCTACCCATCTGGGAGACAAAAAAAGCAAATAAAAGCATCTAAAAGCAAATAAATATGCTTGAAGGAATAGTAATAATCAATTGAATTGGTAGAAGTCAACCTGTTAATATGTAGTTTTAAAATAACAAGCTATTGGGAATCATTTTTTTTCCATTTTGAAAATCTTGTATTTGCCATAGCCAAGGGAAAAGAGAACAAAGGTTTTGACATAATTCATCAAGAGGTAGCTAGTAACTGATAACTGCTTTGTTGAAGACCATGTAGGTAATCTTGGACTACTACCTATTAAGTCTGTACAAACAGACTATAACTGGAATCCACCTCCCAAAAAAATTCTATGACAGTATTACTCCATCATTCCACACTCTAGCCAAGGAATAAAATCCCTTGATTTCCTCTGTCTACCTGATAGGAGAATATAGACACATCCCCTAAAGAACAGCAACTTGGTTAAAAATTCAGTCTTGATAGAAAAACAAAACCTGAGAGGCAGGAAAAAAGAAATTCACATTTATTGAGTAGCTTCTATGTACCATGTACTTTTTCACTCCTAATACTGGACCCATTGTGATACTATCTTTACCATATTAAAAATTAGAAAAGAATGCCAAGTTGCTTTTCATACATTGGTATGAAACATTTTTCCCTGAAAACTTAGTTTCTGAAATATTCCCACTAGTTTAATTTTTCATTTCAAATGATACTGCTATCATACTACTTATCAGCCATGTCTAGGTACACATGAAACACTTGACTATGCAGTAGTGGGTCAGTATGCACCTTGAATAAGAGTTACTGTGCTCCAAGTATTTATAATTCTGTCAATCCATCTCCACAATCCCTGCATGATCCCATTGGCAGGAGATCAAAGTGACATTCAACAAAATTAAATACTTTGGCTGAGTTTTCACACAAAACTGAGATCTGATTCCATATACCATCTGAGTCTGTCAGGTCCCCAGAACTACTCACTAGGATAGTTCTTAGATCACTGCTGTTCTTTGAATGGCTCCAGACACTGGGACAGAGTAATGGAGGAAAGAAAGGAACAAAAAAAGCAAAACATATATATCAATACAAATAGCAAAATGGCAGGCAAACATCATAACATATTAGTAATTAAATAAAAATAAACACTCCAATCATAAGGCAGATTGACAGAATATGTGCTTTGAAATGATGTATCCATAGTCTGTCTATAAGTAATACATTATAAATTCAAAGGCACAAATGAGGCAAAGTAAAATGTTGGAGAAAAGATAAACCATGGAAAAAGTAACCAAAAAAGAATTGGAATGGTCATCCTAATGTCAGGCAAAATAAGTATATATTAGTCAGCTTTCCCATTTCTGGGACACAACACCCAACACCCACAGTTTGAAAGAGGAGTGGTTTAATTTGGCTCAGTTTTCAGAGGGTTCAGTCTATGGTCAGTCTGCTCGCTCCAAGGCAGAAGGTTCATGTTGGAAGAATACAGCAAAGGAAAGCTACTCACCTCATGGCAGAAAGGAAGCAGAGACAGAAGGAGATGACCATGTAGGGAGATGTACCCTCCATACAACCCCAGTGACCACCACTTCTGAACAGCTCTTAACAGCACACTTGGCTATGAACTCATCAAAGGATGAATCCACCAGAGTGGAATCCACAATCCAGTCACCTTCCAAAAGCCCCCCTCTGAACATGTGAGACTTGGTGAACACTGTGTATCTAAACCATAATGATAGGTTTGAAGGAAAAAATTGTTACCAGAGACAAAGAAGGCTATTTTGTAATAATGAAGGGTCAATCAGGAACACTTAATAATTATTAACATATATGCACCTGATAACAAATCTCAAAAGTAAATGAAATAAACACTAACAGAACTAAAGGGAGAAATAGATACTTCAATAACAATAGTTGCAGACAACTCAATACCTTACTTTCGGTGAGACTAGGAAAAGTAGGCAAAAGGTAAACAAGGAAATAGAAACCTTAGAAATGCCATGACCCAGACAGATAGAACAGACTCTGTGGAAGACTCTCCCAAAACAGTAGAATTACACAGTCTTCTGGACATCAGGCATGTTCTCCAGAATAAACTACGTTAGGCTGTAAAAGAAGCCTAAATAGATTGAAAACTAACTAATACAAAGAACGTTCTCTGCAAAAAGCTTGACAAACTCAGAAACATGTGGAAATAAAACTGCACACTTTTGAATGTCCCATGAGTTAAAGAAGAAATCACAGGAGAAATTGAAAACTACTTAGATATACATGAAGAAAGTCACAGCATACCAAAACTTAGGAAAAACTGCAAATGTGGGGCTTACAGGAAAATTTAGAGCTGTGGGCACCTACATTAAAATAGAACAAACATCTCAAATCCATAATCTAACCTTCCACATTAACACTGGAAAAAAGAGAAACCTGAAACAAGTAGAAGGATGCTAATAACAAAGATTAAAGAGAAATAAATGAAGTAGAAAAACAATAGAAAAGATTAATGAAACCAAAAAATGGTTCTTTGAAAATATCAACAAAATTTATAAGACTTTTAGCTAAACAAGAAAAAAAAGAAAATTACTAAAATCAGAAATACAAGAGGGAATATCATTAATGACTTTAAAGAAATTAAAATATGTATAAGGAAACACTGTGAACAATTGTTGAATAAACAAGAGAAAAAAGATTAAATTGATAATTTTAAAACTTCCCAGAAGAAAAACCTAAGCCCTATGTGTGCCAAACATTTAAAGAGTTACTACCAGATAGATTCCATGACTCAAACCTATAGTCCTAGCCACTCAGGAGGCTGAGGCAGGAGCATTGCTTGAGTCCAGG